ATTAAATAATTTAAAAAATAAAAATTTATTTGCAATTTCTGATAATAGAAAATGAATTTGCTAATGAAAAAAATATTATTATGATAGTTCAAACATTCAACGTTTACGAGATAAAAATTCATACGTACTAGTTAACTAACCGTATTAGTTAACTAACAAATCAAAATTCGATTTTTAACACAAAAAACTAATTTGTAACACTAATGTAATCATTTTATCGAAAAACATTTAAATAATTTATCTCAGAATCGAAGATATTAGTTTTGTCCACGTTTTCGCCGTTTTTCGCCACTGTGCGTCGAGTCAATAGTATCATTAAGTTGTAAATAGTTTTGCGCTGGCTCGACGGGTCTAAGAGGCCCTTGGCCCTTTCCGCTCGGGACTTCCCAAAAAAAGGAGAGTTTTCTCTCCCAGGCGAAAATGTATTTTTCGTGAGACATTCAAGTCTTGATCTCCGTAGCAAACGTATCGCGCCTTCTGTGTTAATAAAGTATTTCGCCACATACACGATTTTATTCATTCACGTACATCACTTCAAAAAAATAGTTTATTCTTGTAAATTGATTCAAATATAAAAGAAAGTTCTTCCAACTTTCTTTTCACTTGCTTTATTTTTCTGTTACATAATTTTACATTACACGAGTGCAATTTTAGAACAAGAGGTACATGTAGAGTCTTTAGAAATTTTAATATGTGTGATTGAAATACAATTGCAATTGTAATTTTATTTGTTAAATGTGTTAATGCTTTTATTTTCAGGTTCGATGTTTTCAGACAGTATTGAGATTTTGTTTTGTTTTTTAAGGTTCTTGAATCTTTCGTTATTTTTTCTTTTGGGTTCTGAAGTTTTCAAATTTTATGATGATTTTATTTCGGGTTTTGGAATATATACATAATTCTTTTTATGATTTTAGTTGGAGTTTCGAGCTTTATTGAGGATTTTAATTCAGGTTTTGAGGTTTCAAACTTCTACGTGATTTTAATACAGGTTTTGAGGTTTCGAACCTCTACGTGATTTTAATTCAGGTTTTGAGGTTTCAAAACTCTTCGTGATTTTATTTCCGGTTTACAGGTTTCTGAATCTTCTTATTTTATTTCGGATTTTGAAGCTTTCAATCGTACGATTTCGATTTTTCAAGAGTCGCGTTTCGAGTCAAAAATGATTTCGTTCATTCTTCTTGAATTTCCTATCTTAATTTCATTTGTCTTTTTCAGAATTTAATTTAAAGTAAGTAATTTCATGATTCGTATTTGTCTTAATTACTTTTGTATGTTTCAGATTTTCCTTTTAAGTAAGTAAGTGAATTATTCAGATGTTTCTTAATTACATTTGTCTGTTTCAGATTTTTATTTCAAGTAAATAATTTAATTATTCATACGTGTCTTAATTACATTTGTCTACTTTGGATTTTTATTTTAAGCAAGTAAGTGAACTATTCATATGTGTCTTAATTATTTTTGTCTGTTTCAGATTTTTATTTTAATTAAGTAATTACATTGTTCACATTTGTAAAATCCGCAATTTTCATTGCTATTTCTATTTTTAAAAGAAAGAAAGATTTCGTTTCTTCTTCCTTCATTTGCTATGTTAATTATATCATTTATTTTTAGCGTTCAATTGTATGTAATTTACTTCACTATTTGTTCTTCTTAAAATTATAATATTTGGAGACGTAATTTGTGGGTGGAAGGCCGGGCCAGGGCGTAAGTTTTTCGTCACAATTTGTGGCGAAAAGCTCACGCGAATTATAAATGCTTCTTGTTTAACTTGCACTCATCTTCACGACAATTTGTCAATTTTTTTACATATTAGAAATTTCTGTAGCTTTTATGTGTTAGACTTTTACTTTTTACACAATAGCTTATTCTTGTTAATTGCTTCAAACCTAAAAGAAAGTTTTTTCAACTTTCTTCACCTCCTTTATTTTTTCTTTTACATAATTTTACATTATACGAGTGCAATTTTAGAACAAGAGGTACATGTAGAGTTCTTAGAATTAATATTGTAATCTGCGTGAATATAATGTATTTTAATGACTTTTTAATTACATTTATATGTTTTAGATTTTGATTTTAAATAAGTAAAGAAATGATTCATAATTTATCTTAATTTCATTAGTTATGTTAATTATGTTATGTTATTAATTTATCTTAATTCCATTAGTTTATTTCAGGTTTTCAGGGATCATCGAAGGAACATCGAGGGATCATCGAAGGATCATCGAGGGATTATCGAGGGATTATCGAGGGATCATCGAGGGATCATCGAGGGATCATCGAAAGATCACTGAGGGATGCGTGCGTTAGTTTTAAATTAATTTTAAGTTCGAAAGTAGGGGCAAGCGGGAGGGTGGGTCCTTGTAAATGCCGCTTATTCTATTTTGCACTCGTCTTCACAATTAGTGAATTTTTTACGCGTTAGATTGTAGTATATTCAGATATTTTTTGTTAATTGCTCCGAACCCGAATGGGTCATTGTTGAATGGGGTTAAAAGTGTTAGTGTAGCACCTGGGACACATCTTTGCGAGGCAGTTTCCTCTCTACAGTCAGACTTCTCTACAACGGAAGCAGGGAGAAACAGGATGCCTTTCGCGGATGTGTCTCTCGTTCTTGCCAGTATTCTTGGTTCATTTCTGTCTCGTGGTTCACGTAAGTCACTATGTGACTACCCTTTGACCCAGGAGGGTGAAGTTCACCTGTCGGAAAATGCTGATCCCCATTTTCGCAGAAAGTTCTTCTAACTTTCTTACCTTTTAGAAAAAAGTTCTTCTAACATTCTGACCTTTCCTTTTGTTTTTTTCTTCGTTTATATATCATACGAGTGCAATCTTAGAATGACAGGCACACGCGCGGTTTTAGGATAAGTTTGTTATGTATTAGTATATAAGCATTATTTCCCCTCTGTTGGGACTCAATCTTAGTATTTTAAGACCGTATTTTTATTTTACATAGAATGTTCTTGTAAATGCCCGTTACCGTTGCATTGTGGGCCAATTTGTACCTTCCAAATTTTTATATGTTTTTATATTTTTATTAAGGTCCAACATGATTTATTGTTTATGACTGTCCAACCGTTAGGTGACGAGCGACGGTGTAGTCGACTTTCTTCAGGTCAATTTTGACCTGAACTCGAACATTTTGTTAGGGCGGTTCTTACCCCTTCTCGGAACATTTTTCAACCAATCTAATGGTTAATTTTGAGAAGTCGCTCGTCTACCCCCAAATACATGCCAATCCCACTCCACATTTTTAGTTTTCGTGAAAAATACTCATGAAAGACAAGATAGATTCTCTCGCCAGCTCTTAACGAGTAAACATTCTTAAAAGTCCGTTACCACGTCGTGTAATATTTACCAAGTATTAAAAAAAAATTCAACTTATACCTTCTACATCAGTTTGTTTATTCATATTATCGGAGTAGTGGTCATTGACACAATACCTAACCAGCTTGCGTATACATTAAGTTGACGCGCAGCACAAAACATTTCTTTGGTCCTTCGAGCCGGATACCAGTGACAAAATACATCCATTTTCCAAAAAACAGCTGGTAAAGAGGGTTCAACTTGTAAGGAAGAGGATTCTTGCAATAATCAATATCAACCTCATTCCTGGATCATTCATCTATACTTCTTCGGAACGGACAATCAGTAACAACCTGTGAGGGAGAAGATTTTTACAACGTTGGACATTTCATCCGGTTTGGGTCTTCAAAGCGGACAGCAAAGTTTAGTCCATGTACAGCTGAGCAACGCCTGGATCAGCGACTCAACATTATCTTCTGTTCGGACATCGAGCTGCTGCTGATCCTGAATACTGTGGGTCATCATCAATTTTGTCATCGGCGTTCCATCCCGAAGGCAAATCAACAATCTAATAGGGCTGGCTGACAAACCATCTGGGTAAGCTCTTGAATCGCCTATTTTTCATATTCCTTCTTTAACAACATTTCCTACACGTATATCATTCAATTATGGCCGAATAAATAAAAAATCTTAACCCATTGACTGCCAGACATATTTAGAGCATCTTGCCCTGGGTGCTAAGGTTTTATTTTGAAGAATACATGAAATTTTACAAAATATAATTATATTAAGTTACTGATATAATATTGTAATAGCATTTACAGTAATAAATAGCATTTTTCATTCACCTTTTTAAAATATTTTTAACTGAAATGGCCATTTGTAATTAATCTAAAATTGCAGCACGCACTACGAGATATCTCGTAGCTGGCAGTCAATGGGTTAAAAGGCAATGCGCTTCAATTAAGGCTTAAACTACGCGCATTAAAAATTCTCTGAACGAAGAGTTAGATTCAGCCGCGTTGAACATGCGAAAAACGAAATTAGAAGAATTATACAACGCGTTTCAAGAAACGCATTTTAAATTAGAATCGGTTGATGAATCAGGTAATTACGAGTCAAATTTAGTAGAATTCGAAGTTTCATATTATGCGTGCACGGAATCAATTGAGCGATTATTAAATAAAACTGCTAGGTGCGTAAGTGCAAATTCTAACAAAGTTCAAACAAACACAAATATTACATTACCGCGTATAGAGTTACCGATTTTTAATGGTAATCTTCTTGAATGGCAAAGCTTCTATGATTCCTTTAAATCTATGGTTCATGAAAATGAGGAAATCTTAGGTGTACAAAAATTTCATTACCTGAAGCGGTCATTACGCGAAGTATCTAGCGTCATCGACACTCTAAACTCTAAACGCGTCGCATGAAAATTACCTGGTCGCTTGGGAGTTGTTAGTTAAAAGATGCAATCAACCACGCAAAATCATACAAATGCATTTAAAATCTTCATTTGAATTATCGGCTATGTCAAAAAAATGTCCTGTGGCACTACGATCATTGATCACGGCCACGGAAAAGCATACAAATGCATTAAAGGCGTTGAAGATTCCAGTAGATTCTTGGAATGAAATTTTAATTTATGTAGTTTCAACTAAATTAGATAAAGTCATGCGTCGTCATTGGGATTGTAGTCTCGATGATGATACTATGCCAACTTTGAAGGAATTTTTAGAATTTTTATCAAAATTTGCTCGCGATGATGCAATAGTCGATACAAGCCCACGCGAGATCTCAAAACCACAAATTACGTCCTTTAATCGTCAAGTTCCAAAACGTGTTAAAAAGCGTCAAACATACGTTTCGACACAATCGAAAATTATATGTGCACTTTGCAAAAGGGATCACTACATTCAAACATGTGATCAATTCTTAAAACTTTCCGTTGAGGATAGGATTCAAGCTGTTCTAGCAGCTAAGTTGTGTATTAACTGTTTACGGCCTGGTCATGCGTATAACAATTGCTTTTTTAGTAAATGCAAGAAGTGTCATGGCAAGCATAACACTTTGTTGCATCGTGATCTAGTGTCAAACAAAGAGTCTGTAACAATAGATTCGTTCTCGTCAACAGTAGTACCGTCAACATCAAAATCGCCAGAATCTACACCGGTATCACTATCCGCACGCGTGCCATCCGAGGTCTTATTATCAACTACACTGATTTCAATTCGCGCTTATCAAGGAAAATATCAACAGTGCAGAGTTTTACTTGATTCTGCTTCACAGATTAATCTCATAACCGTAGAGCTCGCATCTCGATTAAATTTACACAAAACCAAAGTAGATATTCCATTGTCCGGTGTTGAAAATATATCAACCCGAATAAAATATTGCATAAGGACCAATATTCGATCAAAAAATTCCAACTATAGTTCTAATTTATCTTTTTATACTATTCCACAAATTTCTTCATATTTGCCATCTCAACGAATTGATCATTCACATTTTAAAATACCTCACAACATTCCACTAGCTTATCCAAATTATCAAATTCCGGCTAAAATCGACGTTCTGTTAGGAGCAGAGGTGTTTTACAAGCTATTATGCGTAGGTCAAATTCGTTTGGCATCTTCCTCATTAACATTACAAAAAACTGTACTAGGTTGGATCATTTGAGGTTCGATTAAGTCAGTCCCAGTAAAAAATGCAAAATGTCTAGTTTCCACTCTTTCGATAGATGAGCAATTGTCAAAATTTTGGGAAATCGAAGAATGTTCGGTCAGCAAACACATGTCAAAAGAAGAACAACTTTGTGAAGCTCATTTCAATAAAAATGTACAACGTGATGCATCAGGGCGATATATAGTTAGGCTACCATTTAATGACAAAATATCCTCTATGCTCTTATGCTCTCTTATGCTCTTAATATCCTCTTATGCTCTAGAAAACCGATTAGATAAAGATGCCACGTTAAGGTCAGAATACGCGAAATTTTTAGATGAATATCAAACGTTAGATCATATGACTGATATTTCCGAATCAAATTGTTTTAATCAGGGATATTATTTGCCTCACCATGCGCTGTTAAAACAGTCTAGTGCTACAACAAAATTAAGAGTCGTCTTTGACGTCTCCGCGAAAACGAGTAACGGTTTATCACTCAACGATACGTTATTAGTAGGACCTACAATACAAGATGATATTTTTACTTTGATAGTCCGTTTTCGCTCATATAATTATGTACTCACCGCAGATGTTGAAAAAATGTATCGACAAGTTCGAGTACATCAAAATGATGCATTATATCAAAAGATTCTCTGGCGTAAATCTCGCGAACAACCAATTAGGGTATTCAGATTAGACACCGTAACATATAGTATTGCTTCCGCTCCATTTCTCGCTATTCGGTCGTTACAACAATTAGCTAAAGATGAAGGTGACCAATTTCCGTTAGCTTCAGAAGCGCTTTTAAACGATTTTTATGTAGACGATCTTCTTACGGGAACACAAACATTTGACGAAACAATTCAACTTCGTGATCAATTAATTAAGCTTACGGGGTTAGGCAATTTTCATTTACGTCAGTGGTCTCCAAATGATCCTAAATTATTAGAGGATTTGTCAAATCAATCTTCCGAGAAATCGCATGCGTTAGATCCAAATACAGTGGTGAAAACGCTGGGAATTTATTGGAATTCTTGTAATGATACAATTACGTATAGTGTAAATACAACCAATACACAGTCCCGCGTTACTAAAAGATTCATTTTATCTAAAATAGCTCAATTATTCGATCCTTTAGGTTTATTGGGTCCTGTAATTTCAATGGCCAAAATCATTATGCAGGATCTTTGGAAGGCTCGTATAACGTGGGATGAGTCGGTGCCGCAGACTATTTTTCTTAAATGGAATGAATTCCAAGGTCAATTGCCTCTGCTAACACAATTCATAGTACCGCGAAATATAAATTCTTTTAACGCTCAAGATATTCAACTCCACGGGTTTTGTGATGCAAGTGAAAGAGCATATGGCGCTTGTATTTATGTTCGCTCTTGTAATCTGTATGGAGAAATTCAAATTCGTTTAGTAGTTTCAAAATCGCGGGTCGCACCTGTAAAATCTGTATCAATTCCGCGGTTAGAGTTGTGTGCAGCGGTGTTATTATCAAAATTGTACCACAAAGTTAAAGAGTCAATACGGCTCAATTTTACAAAAATTAGATTATGGACTGATTCAACAATCGCGTTATGTTGGATAAATACGTCACCTCATTTGCTCAAAACTTTTGTTGCCAATCGTGTATCTATTATTCAGTCTTATTCGCAAGCTCAAGAGTGGTTTCATGTAAATTCTTTAGAGAACCCTGCCGATGCCATATCACGAGGTCAATTGCCTTCAGAATTTTTGCAAAATCAATTATGGTTAAACGGGCCGGTATGGCTTTCTCAAACTGAAAACACATGCCTCTTGTAGAACATCATTCGATTGACACTCCCGAGTTACGCAAAGTTGTTGGTCTCAAAACTACATGTGATGATACTATATTCGAACGTTTTTCATCGTGGAACAGACTAATACGGGTCGTAGCGTATTGTATTCGGTTTTGCAAAATCATTTCAAAGAGGCATCATCAAAAGGATTTTCTAACTACGGCTGAATTAAATAAGGCACGTAATTCTATCATTAGCTGTATTCAAAGTCAACATTTCAATAAAGAATTAGAAAATTTAAATTCAAATAAACCTCTTGACAAAAAGAACCGGGTTTTATGTTTAAATCCTTTTATCGATTCTACCGGTCTCTTAAGAGTAGGTGGCAGGTTAAGACACGCAAATTTAGATTTTAATCAAAAACATCTAATTATTTTACCCCGTGCTCATCACGTTACAAAGTTAATCATACAGTATTATCATATACAAACGTTTCACGGCGGTGTTTAAGTTACATTAAACGCAATTAGACAAAATTATTGGCCTGTCGATGGGAAAAATACTACTCGGAATCTAATCCGAAAATGCGTTACCTGCGTTTGTGCGCGCCCTTCAGGCATAAATTATACTATGGGTAATTTACCAGAAAAGAGAGTCACAGAGTCTAGGCCATTCAAGATTGTCGGGATTGATTTTTGTGGACCTTTATTTATAAAGGAACGAAAATTTCGAAATCGTAACAAAATAAAAGTATATGTTGCTGTGTTTGTGTGTTTTATTACAAAGGCTGCACATTTAGAACTTGTTAGTGATTTAACATCAGAAGCATTCATAACAAGCTTGAAGCGATTTTTTGCACGTCGAGGTAAATCTCGACATATTTACTGTGATAATGCAACCAATTTCGCCGGTGCAAAAAACGAATTGTACGAAATTCAAAAATTTTTAAGTTCGACGAGTGAGAACGAAAAAATCATGAGCCACTTAGAGTCTGAGGGCATTTCTTGGCATTTTTCTCCTCCACGATCACCACATTTTGGCGGTCTGTGGGAGGCTTTAGTTAAATCCTTTAAGCATCATTTGATTCGAACAGTCGGGAATCAGTTGTTTACATATGAACAACTAAACACGTACGTAATTGAAGTTGAAGCCATCCTAAATTCACGTCCTCTGACTCCAATTTCCTCTGACCCCAATGATACCATCGCCCTTACTCCCGCACACCTTCTAATAGGCGATTCTTTAATGAGCGTGCCAGAGGTTGATTTTCAGCTAGTCCCTAGCAATAGATTGTCTGTTTGGCAACATATTCAAAAGGTCAAACAGCATTTTTGGACTCGCTGGCACAAGGAATACATCAACCAATTAAATACACGCAGCAAATGGAGGATACAAGGGGACAACCAAAGGTTGGAGATCTAGTGATCATCAAGGAACACAATGCGCCATCAATGAAATGGCCACTGGGACGAATTTTACATGTGCATCCAGGTGACGATGGCATTGTTAGGGTTGTCACCGTGAAGACTGGAAGTGGTACTTATAAACGAAGCACCACACGTTTGTGTCCTTTGCCTGTGATGAACTAAAAACTGTTTTGTTTTCTTTATCATTATCGATCAGTTTGTAATCTTACTAATCAAATTATATCTAAGACTAATTTTTAAATTGTTTTTATGAACGATGATAATTGTACGTGTATATAAGTATGATACTTTTACCGATATTTCTCTTTGTCTTTTTTTTCATATATTTGTTTGTCACGCGAGAACTTCTATTTCTTTTCTTGTTTCGCATTAGAATTAAGCAAATCTCATGTAACTATTTTCTTTTTTCTTTATATATCTTGTTAGATTTTGAATTTGCAATCAATGTATGTTTATTCTGTGCGTAGCGTTATGTATAAGATCTTGCGTATATTCATATTATTTATCTTAATTCGATGTATATTTATGAAAGAGTATTTTTAGTTTTTTTTTTTGTTGAACGTGACCGTTCAAGGGGGGCGGCATATTGGGATTCAATCTTAGTATTTTAAGACCGTATTTTTATTTTACATAGAATGTTCTTGTAAATGACCGTTACCGTTGCAGCGGTTTATTGTGGGCCAAATTGTACCTTCCAAATTTTTATATGTTTTTATATTTTTATTAAGGTCCAACATGATTTATTGTTTATGACTGTCCAACCGTTAGGTGACGAGCGACGGTGTAGTCGACTTTCTTCAGGTCAATTTTGACCTGAACTCGAACATTTTGTTAGGGGGGTTCTTACCCCTTCTTGGAATATTTTGTCGACCAATCTAATGGTTAATTTTGACAAGTCGATCGTCTACCCCCAAATACATGCCGATCCCACTCCGCATTTTTAGTTTTCGTGGAAAATACTCATGTTAGACAAGATAGATTCTCTCACCAGCTCTTAATGAGTAAACATCTAAAAAGTCCGTTACCATGTCGTGTGATTTTTTCTAAGTACAAAAATAAAGTTTAACTTATACCTCCTACAACAGTTGTTTGTTCATATTATCGGAGTAGTAGTCACTGATACAATACCTAACCAGCTTGCGTATGCATTAAGTTGACGCGCAGCACAACAATAACTATTTTACAAATTTTGCTGAAAAATAACATTTAGGAAAATTCCAATCTTAATGAAGTAAAAAGTAGTTAACGTTAATCTTTGAAAAGTGTCTCAAGAAAAAAATGTTAAACACTTCATTACATTCTATTGCAAATATTAGTTACCGATGTACCTCAATGTCTAATCGACACATATTTTGGTTACGTGACAGAAAGAAGTCATGAAACCTTAAATATGAAGTGATCCGTAGCAGCCTATTAGTTCCGGAAATATTAATTGAAAACTTTCGGCATAATACAAAGAATTCTACTTTATAGATGTAACTAACACAATCATCTCCGCTGTAGTAACTACCGTAGTAAAGATCCTCGACCTGAGTACCTATAAGGTGTCCCATATGTAGAAAACAGATTATTTTGTAAACTGTAGCTCACGTTCATGCTAACCTTGTCATTTTATATATTTCGATGTGCTACGTGCGAATATGATTTTCGTTTTTGTAAAAATAACATGTTATCGAAATATTCGCAAACAATTTTGTCATTAATAGAAAGAGTTCCACCTTAAGAATGTGGACCTATAGCATAGTTACAAGCATAGCTATATTTTTGTATTCAATGATTTTGTGAATTTGCCACTTACATGTGCACGAATAAAGATTAATATGTCTGGTCGTCTACAAATATTGGCGCACAGTATAATTAGATTAGATTATATTTTTTAAAGACGGAAAAGCACGGATTTAAGACATTGAAATAATTTTATCTCCCTTATAAAAAATTCAAAATATAATACTAATGCAACGGTTAATGAATTAGCGAAATTTTTAGTGGGACAGCCTATACATATTCAGGTCGTGGCCTTCTACTGTGTCATCGGTTGCTCTGATGAAGGTTATTACAGCGGAGATGGTTGTGTTCGTTACGGCTGTACAGGAAGAATTCTATGTATCATGTCAAAAGTTTTTAATATCTTCGAAACTAATAGACTGCTGCAAATGCCGCTTGATACATATGTGGAATCTTCTTCCTGCCCCACGCTTTCCTCCAAAGAGAGATGACCTACGCCACCGAGGCACTTCAATGTTATGTCCCATATTTGAGGGTAATACCGCAAATACGTTCCATAAAATATATGATATAAAATTCTAGTATTTTGTCACACAAATATAAGTTGCAGATACAAATGCAGATGTCGGCGATACCATATAACTTTTCTATTAATAAATTTTTTAAGAAAAAGTTATTTAATTGTTGATGAGTTCTTATTATTATTGTTTATAATAACTTAAAAATTTTATTTCGTTTGAATTGAAACATTAGGACTTAAGAAATATTGACTTATAATTGTTCTGATAATGAATAATCATATAAACGATTAAAATTTTATTGGTTATCAGTAATCATTACGAATAAAAGGAACTGTTTTTGCTTATGGAAGAAGATAATTATCAACGAAAATTGTTTCCAATTATAAATTCTACTATGGATTGTAAAAAATGTTTTTAGATAAAAATAGGCGATGTTGCTAATAGCAAAAATCTTTATTTATGAACAACCATTATCAGTACGTGCAGCGAAAGATGCAACCATTTCTATTTCAGCAAAAAAAGTTCAATCACGACTAACGACTATCGTTGTGTCACGGGCCTGACTCATTCGGAGCAAACACACCGAGTCAGATCAGAACCCGACTCATCATAGTCAATAACCGGGATATCTGTAGTCGACTATGATCTTGACTCATCCACAACAACGCTAGAAGATGTCCCAAAAGACACGTAGGCCAATTCCCCCATTACTATCGACCATGCATATATACATATATATATCTCCTCCAAACATGTAAAAATAGTTAGAAATAAAACTTCAACCGATCTACACCGAAACTCTGTCCAATTTCTTCGCGACTACGGTTACATGACATTTTGGCGATCTCTGCCAGGATACTTCGACAGTTCATCGAGAAAACTGACGACGCTCATCTACGGAAGAGAATCACTCAGGACTGCGGTCATCTCAGGTGAACAGAGAGTATTCGGACCATAAATAAGGTAAAACTGGCTTTTCATACGTACAGAAAAAGGAAACGAAGTTTTAGTTCTAATTCCTCTGAAGAAATGGCGAATTCAGTAAACGCTAGTGAAAACATCCTACAACAAATTCTTAACCGACTCCAACAAGCAGAAGAATACAATAAAACCCAATTCGCTCTCCTTGCTACTGAAAATAAGAAGCGAGCTGAGGAAATAGAGAGTTTAGGTAAAACTCTTCAGTTGACAATGCTGACGGAAACTGGATCAAGTCAACATTCACGCACGATGGGAAATGCAGAAGATTCCGACGACGATATACCTATTAATCCACGGATTACAATTCAGGAACCAACTGACGTGCCCGGCCCATCTAGGAGAAATTACGACAACACCGAAGAATTGCTCAACCCCAAAGATGCAGTCGAACTAATCGAAACATTGCGTGGACAAGACGACATAGGAGTAGAAGATTTTATAAAAAATGTAAGGTACGCTCGCAGTCAGTGCAACCAAAGGAATTTACTCCTGAAATTAATTCTCATTAAAAGAATAACTGAAAGTGCCAAAAGAAGTATTAGATTTCTTGAAATCGAAAGTTATGAAGATTTATACACTGCCCTTTGACAAAACGTTTCATTACCAAGTACTGTGATGAATTGCCGTGATAAACTCCGAAACATAAGACAAGGGAATACTGAGAGTGTTCAATCATTTAATTTACGTTTTAGACAGCAACTGAATGAATTAATATATGCAATTCAAAATAAACACACAAAACCCCTTAGCCGCCGAATTGCAATTGAAGAAGAAACAAGTGACGCAGTGAAAACGTATGTGCTCAATTTACGTGAAGATTTGGGACAATATGTCATTCCAAGTCAACCCGACACTCTACTGAAGGCGCAGAACTTAGCTTCTGAAATGGAGATGTACGTGAAAGAACGACATTCACGGAAAATAAATCCACGTTCAACAACTGGCCCACCAATCAAACGCCCAGCCTTCGCCTCGAGCACCATCGTAACCAGACCGATACAGGACAATAGTGAAAGAAGATTTAGTCAAGTTGAAAATCGAATGTTCAGTGAACGTGCTAATTTAAAGTGTCATAAGTGCGGGAAAATGGGACACTCAGCTGATAGGTGCTTTGCTCGAAATTTTCCCTAAATCAGCCAAAGGAACCTACCTCCACCGAGGAATGTAAACCAAATCCAGATAGAAGAAAACGAGGAGACACTGGACCGATCAGAATTAATTGCACAAGAGGAAGACTCCTTTCAGTGTTTCTACAAGAACAAGATGGAACGAAACGAAGAGTACTCGTCGACACAGGAGCAGGAATCAACCTAATTAAGGAAAATCGAACAAAAAACATAACAAACCACAACGAACCTTTTTCATGGGCAATGAAAAACACACAGTTAACCGAATTACTAATATTGGTGTTTTAGGGAAAGATCACATTTTTCATGTAGTTCCTTCTAACTTTCCATTAATCGAAGATGGATTAAAGGGTTAATCGGACTTCCTTTCCTTTCCAAATACAATTACGAAATCACCAATGAAAGTTTAACTTTGGATAATAAAACTGTGCGATTCCAGAATCCTAGAAAAGAACCAATTGAACCAGGCGAAACAAGGGCCCAGACTGTTTATTTGGACGGAATTGCGACAACAGTATGTTTCTTCAACAATGGTAAGCGTGTCACATATCACATATCTAATGAAATCGAACAATCTAATAATCTCGAACAAATTGATAAGTTCACAAAAATTATTCGAACAGAACATATTGAATCTGCTTATCGAAATCCTATCGAGAAAATCCTCATCTCCTATTTAGACGTCTTTCATTTAGAAACTGACATATTTCCCTGCACAAATTTGACAGAACATACAATTACGCTAAAAACAGACAAACCAATTAACGTTAAAAGTTACAGACCCCCCGAATGTCACAAACAGGAAATC